TCTTTCAAATTCTTCATCTCGTAATAGTTCTCTTATTTGTGGACCATCAAAGACTCCTTCGTTGATCTTTGCTTCCGAAAGTTTTGGAAATTTCTCGAAGAGATACATAAAAGCGTTGCTTTCGTCTTGTGAATTTTTCATTGCTTTAATGAACTGTTTGACCAAACCAAGCTTAATATGCAAGGGTGGGAGGATGACTTTATTTGCAGGTATAAGACTTTCGTGTAAAGCATTTTTATTACCTGGGGTCAAATTTTGTCGAAGTGGCCATTCTTTTCTCACATAGTGTTGATCTCGGGCACGGCTATCCCATTCACAAATGAAACATGGATATTTCGTGAAGCCACTTTGTTGACCCAACAAAATTGTTGTTATTTTCAAATCTCCAACCAACTGCCACCCGTGAGTATCATAATGCAATTTCTGTAGCAGTAAATCGAGATTACTATATTCCTCTTTCAAGACAATGGAATGACCAATTGGTATAGGGGCGTATATGTTACCGTTATGGAGTAAAACTGCTTTCAAGCTTCTCGTAGAAGAATCAATAAACAGACGCCAATCAATAGCTTCATACTCTACGTTTCCAAATTCATTTATCAGTCCTGCAACGTCGTTGCAATAAACTAAATCGCATTCTTTCGAAAAAAATTTTCTAAATTGTTGATCACGATTTCGGTAAAATGTGATGGAAGTACCAGGAGCCAGACAATTTTTTTCTTTCAATCTAGATGCTAATAGTTCCAAAAGTTCTTTTGAAAGTCCTGTGTCTCGAACTAAGAATGATTAAACCCATGAAATGTCTGGTCTTGCTCATCATCTTCTATATCTTCCATTCCATCAGTGCAACCTCTTCTACTTGGCCCCTCTCTCGTTGATTCTTCTGTTTGCATTTCTATATTCTTAGCACCTACATCGGACACATTTCTACTGATCCTTCCACCCTTGCATATTAAGCTTGGTTTGGTCAAACAGTTCATTAAAGCAATGAAAAATTCACAAGACGAAAGCAACGCTTTTATGTATCTCTTCGAGAAATTTCCAAAACTTTCGGAAGCAAAGATCAACGAAGGAGTCTTTGATGGTCCACAAATAAGAGAACTATTACGAGATGAAGAATTTGAAAGAAGAATGACGATAAAGGAACGCAACGCGTGGCAAAGCTTTAGAGAAGTTCAGCATAAATTTTTAGGAAATAATAAAGACGACGATTACGAAGATATAGTAAATGAGATGTTGGGTAATTACAAAATAATGGGTTGCTTGATGAATTTGAAAATTCATTTTCTTCATTCTCATCTTGATTACTTTCCTGAAAATTTAGGAGACTTTAGCGAGGAGCAAGGAGAGAGATTCCACCAAGACTTCAAAGACATCGAAAGAAGATATCAAGGCTATTGGGATGTGAACATGATGTCAGACTATTGTTGGTCTCTTAAAAGAGACACTACTACTCCACACAAAAGAAAAGCGCTCCGCAGATCGTTTGCTAATAAAAGAACGCGTCATTCGTAAATCTTTTTGATCGACATCACTATCTGAAATCAAGTCTATATATCAAGCTAGGTGAATTTTAATTGCTGGAATCGATTGGCAATATCCGCGCGAGAAAACCATAAAGAGAGCTAACACAACCATGAACTAAGTTCTCACCGTAACTCATATTTGAATTTGAGACCGAGGATCCTCAGATTTTGATTTAGCGCGTCGAAATACCTAAAGATACGTGACCAAATTATAGTTAAAAATCTGTAGTGTAATGATGTATATGGAATACATGAATTTTATCGATCGGTGAGTCATTTGACCCTCAGATGACCTTGGAGGGTCATGTTGGAAAAAATAGAAAATACATATTTGGACGTAAAATTTCCCGCTCTTTCCGAATCCGTGGTCAGATTTTATGTTTTTCCGTAGTAAATGCGTTTGACCTTCAAATGTCCTTGAACACGACGTGCTGGGGTTATGTGGACCTCGGATTTGGATTCAGCGCATCGAGAAACCTAAAGATACCTGACTCATTTGTACGCATGTCTTTAGTTGTGATGATGTATGTGGGAAATACGAATTTGATCTATCGGTGAGTCATTTGACCCTCAGATGACCTTGGAGGGTCATGTTGGAAAAAATAGAAAATACATATTTGGACGTAAAATTTCCCGCTCTTTCCGAATCCGTGGTCAGATTTTATGTTTTCCCGTAGTAAATGCGTTTGACCTTCAAATGTCCTTGAACACAACGTGCTGGGGTTATGTGGACCTCGGATTTGGAATCAGCGCGTCGAAATACATATAGGGTATCAATTTTGCCGAAGGACTTTTTCCGGTTCCCATTTGTGGTCCTGTGTAATTAATCTAATAATTGCGTTATAAGATTATAGAAAAAACTGTTACGAATATGAAAATTTGTTATAATTCAAATGTTATTAACTAATTTGGATATTTCTTTTTAGAAATTACTTCTAAAAATAATAAACTATAAAGTTATGTAACAATTTAATAATTTTCTATTGTAAATATTGTAATATCACGATAATTAACTTTATTAGTTAATAACTTTTGACGACACTATTTGCGATAATTGTATATTGTATAAAATCAACAAATAACAAATTCTGTAAAGTTTACATGTGTCAAAAGCTTACGATTAATGGTTATTTACTTGTAAATTAAGAAAACTCATTTCTCAAAATTCGCGAATGTCTCTCGAATGTTCGATGACATCTCTCCTGCAAAAATAAGCGGGAAAATCTGTGTATAAATAGGCCCACCTTTGCACAGGCTAGCATTCACTTCTAGCCTTGCAAGGTGAGCGCATGAGTCTGAATAAATTTGGCTAATACCTAAGTTCTTTCTCTCATTGTGATTAACTGAGCAAAACTGTTCCTTCTTTATAATTCGAGCTCGACTTATAGAACATCTCGCGCTATAAGAAACTTGGGCCGAATTATATCCTATCCAAGAAAGACTTTAGCTCTGCTTATGGGACAATTCGCACCATAAGAAACTAGGGCATCGTCTGACTTTCCTTGAAACATTGTACTTACTTATATATACTCGTATTTGATCTATTTATTATTATTAGAGTACATTTGATTTATCTATTTATTTTATTGACAAGTAGAGTAAAATTATTAGAAACAAAGTCTTACTCATTAGCTAGATACGAGAGTTCGAATTATTATTATTTATAAGTGTTACGAACATCACAATATTAAAAATCACTATTAAAAAAATCTTCGAACATTTCAAGTATTTTTTATGATTTACAGATAGAAAAAATAGAATAAGTTTAAGTTGATAGATAAGTTATTCAATTTTTTTATTTAGAATAACTTATATAATTTTGATAGAAGAAATAATAAAACAAGAATCTCTCATATATTTCATTTAATTAACTTGAAATAAATTAAAAGTTGAAATTAAATAAAATTGTTACCTTTACCAAGTTTTAGTAGCTTCTTGACTCTACAGTCACTTTTATTGCTGGGCCTATAGCCTATATAGTCAATTAACAAGCGGATCAATAATTTCAAAATTTTTTATTATCAAAAAGTATTTTTTCTCCATCCCCTTGTCGAAAGTATTTGCTATCTGCTGCAATTTAGGATCAGAATGTATGGCTTTGGTGCACTGTCAGACTCTCGCGGCCTCTAGTGACAGAGCCGAGAACGCAGACAAAAGTAAAGAAAATAGTGTAGAAAATCTGAAAATCTAGGAATCATGGTTTCTCTTCATGCCAAATATAGTGGTTCAGAAATTTTTTCGGAAGACTCTAAGGCATATCTGATAATCTCAATAGACTATAATTACGGTTATCAGCACCATTCGGTTATATGTAACACATGGGAAATCGAACGTTAAAATTGGAGTCGTCGATTTGTTTATATGTTATAAGTTTAATTCTAAATGTCTGATATACATTTCCAACATAATATTTTTATGTAGAATACGACGGTGTTATTAGTCTTATTATAAAACCAAACTAAATAGCAATCAATGCGAAAACAACCAAAATCCACTAAAAAACTCAGTTTTCTGCTTCTGGCTCATTCCAATTCAATTTCACGATAAAACCAGTAGCAGCATCATAATCTACATGAAAAAATACGTCGAAAACATATGCAATAGTTTTATTGTTAGCACTATTGCATCACGAGAAATCGACATATAAACTACCAATCTTCGATTTACCATTTATTACATATAGGCAGGTGAAGATTGGGAGTTAGTCGCCGCTTTCTTAGGATGTAATGGGTCTGATAATAAAAGTATTACATATATTTTCTGTGTATTTTTTAGCGTAGAATATGATGGTGCTATTAGTTTTATTGTGGGGTGAAGCTAAAAAGGGCTAGAAGCGAAAAACTTGATTTTTTAGTGGGTTTTAATGGTTTTTATTTATTTTTGCTCACCGCACACCCCTTTTAAAAATCTGAAAAAATTCAACAATGTTCTTTGAGCAATAATATACAACATATTTTTGTTTTAGAGGTTCGTTTATTTTTGTTTTCGAATAATCAAATTTTTTAATTTTTAAACTGCCCTAAAAATTAGAATTTTGCGCGAAAAAAAATTTGATGTTGATAGATTTGTAGCTTTTCAAAAACCCTACAACTATTGTATTTACAGTTTTTGGATATCTCTAGAACCGATCGAGCTATTGTCAAAAAACCGAAAAACAGAAAATAGTGTCCCATTTTGCCCCAGGTTGGTCTAGGAGTCTAAAAATTTAGAGGGAGGGACGTCATTATATTCCGGACGTAATGATCGAGTTACTTCATCTGAAGCGTCAAGGTCACTTTTAACTGTCTTAATGGGCTAGACCCTTTCATGAAGAATTATTATCATGAACCTTTTTTTAAATTTTGATCAGACGTCAAATTAGAATAGCAAAGAGTAATTGAGATTAAATGAATATTTTTATCATTTCAAATTGGAAAGTTATATATTAATGTATGAAAGCTATCAATATATAGTTTATCAATATTTCACACTTACCCCCATAAGCAAAGTTATTCCTTGGCATACTCTAGCGGTCTGTATTTTCAATGATGTACAAAATTGAAAAATACTATTCATTATTTCTTCTTCGCTTTTTCCTACTTTAATGAAATGCTGCAATAAACCAGCGCCAATTTTACATGCTGTACAAGACACTTTTGACATTACAGAGGTTTCAATTTCTTGCATGACTTGTCGCAGATCTAATAATTTCATAGCTTTATCTACAAAAATAGATAGATGTCCGCTATCCTGTACCATTTCTGCATCCCATAATGTGCGCGACAAATTTATCTGAAATTAACATCATTGATGTTATGAAATCGTAATAAAATATCACGTATCAAAATCCAAGACAATGCATCAACTTAAAATCGTAAAAAAATATCATTTCAAAATATCTTATAATAAATATATTCCAATACAATAAAAGTTTTGAGAATTACGTAACAAAAAATCTTATTATTAAAGTTATTATTATTTCAAGTAAGACGTTCCGATATTTAGAAGTAAGCAATCTTTAGTTGACATTGAAGAGTTAAAATTTGTCATAGAAGAACACAGACATAACTTATTAAGTATCCGAAATAATCGGTATCGTGTGAACAAGATACCATTACCACAGCTCACTGTAGAAATACAACATGATTACAAAAGAAATATATAAAGTCAGCATGTTATTAAATACTGTAATAAAATTTGAACCCCCGGAAGTTGAACGAGATATCCCAAAAATTGAAGATTATCCGATTAGAGAAAAAATTAAAGAAATAAAGTGCACAAATTGTGATGTAAGCACACTGCAAATTTTAAACGATAGCCACCTAGTAAACAACTTCAATGAAATTTACAAACAAATTCAAACCAAACAAAACATACAACCAAGCAACAGCAAATCAAAACAGAGTGAGACAGAAGAATCAAACGAAACAAATACTCAACTAAAGCCAAGTAAATAGGACACCGACGTAAATACAAATAAGCTTGAACATATAATGAAACAGTTAATGTCAATAATGAATACAATGTTTTAACCTATTAACACTACCAGTAAAAAAATTACACAATGAATAGTTCGTAACTCGCTATCTGGAACGCAAATGGGTTTATGCAGAGACACCTCAAACTAAGAGCGTTTTTATCAAGGAAAATATCGATATCATGTTAATATCAGAAATACACTTTATGAGCAAGAACTACCTCAATATGGCAAACAACACTGTACACAAACCAAGTAAAGCACACGGAGGTATTGTATTTTTTTTTGTTATAATCAAAATAAAAATAATCCACTACGTCCACACACACACACACACACACACACACACACACACACACACACGCATGCGCGCGCACATACAGATACACATAAATAAACACACTAGTGAAATTTATTCTCACTCAAACAGAATAATAACAAAGAATAACTAGAAAGACTTCTCCCAAACTCTAAGATATCACTGTATAGCACACGGCTATTATAATACGAAACATCCGTGGTGTGTGTTACGTCCTGCTTTATATTTAATTTCATATTGAAAATCTGCCACCTTCAGTCTCATTCTAGTTACTCGTGAGTTAGGATCTTTGTGTGATCTTAATCGAACTAGAGGTTTATGATCAGTAATGACGGTGAATTTCTTTGCATATAGGTACGGTCGAAATTTAAGAATTCCGAAAATAATTGCTATCATTTCTTTCTCTAAGGTGCTGTAACGTCTTTCCTCGTCATTTAACGCTCGTGATGCATAAGCTACTGGCTTATCAAAGTCGTCCTGATCCTGTTTTTGAGATAAAACGCATCCTACACAGTATCCACTTGCATCTGTTATTAAAATGAATGGTTTTTCGAAGTTCGTGTGAACCAATACAGGTGACTCACATAATTTGCGTTTTAACAGTTAAAAGGCTTTCTGTTGCTCTTCCTTCCATATGAACTGCTGATCTTTTCTTAAGGCGACCTTGTAAACTGGAAAAAGTCTTGGTCGCATCGAAATGCTATCACCTGCCTGTTCTCTTTTATAATTAGGCATTGATGATATCCTGAATAAAGGTCAAAGACCGAGTATATTGTGGATCTTCCTAGCGCATCTAACAGATCGTCTACATTCGGCACTGGAAAATTGTAATCCAGAATCAGTGTATTTACTGGGCGGAAGTCTATTACTGGTCTTTTCTTGATTACGCCTTCAGCATTCCTTTTCTTGTCCACGTAAAATATTAGAGACGAGTAAGTAGTAAAAGACCTTTTAATTATACCTTGCTCGAGTATATTTAAAACTTGAGCATCAATTTCTTTTTTTAACTCCGGGGTTGTCTGAAAGGTCTTATGCGAATTGGTACTTTCGACGTTAATGAAATTTCGTGTTAGAGTAGATTAGTAAATCCTAATTTATCTCCAGGTAAGTGATATCTGTCGTTGAATTTATTTATTATATCAACTATATGTTTCTTTTCATTTAAATTCAAATGATCTAATTGTGGCATGCTGATTATTATTGATGCCTTATCTTCCGTATTCTGATTCATACTTATTTAGGCTATCCGCACGTGTTCGTTGATAGTAGGAGGCATTCGTGTCTTCCTTCGATAAAAACTTTACGGCGACCAAAAGTTGTAAAACCATTCGTTGTTTATAATTACCATTGAAGGTGGTTTATATTTTCTGATAGTTTTATATTTTCTTATTATTTGTACCACTCCCTCTAATAATTCTTAATATATTCTTTATCTCTGATTTCGTCCAATGTTTCGACCAGGGTGTTTGCAGAATTAATTACTGATAAAAAGTTGCTCACGGAATATGGTTTATTACTTATGTATGAATTTGTATTATTTAATACGTTAATACCTTTATTAACTCTTTTCAATAGGGTAGTTTCGTCAGTATTATCGTAACAATCTACACTTTTCCGATCATTGCTACTACTTTCTCTAATTTTCGACTTATAATATGACTGTAAACTCAATTTATTTTCTGTCATTGAGAATTTCGTGGGGTGAATTTTATTATCTGCAAAATTTTTATCAAGGGTGCTTTCATTATGGCTTTGCACAGCCCTACTTATTTTATTATTCTGAATAGATAATGAATTAGCTTTCGCGGAACTTGGGCGTGCACTTCCGTATTCTTTGTTTGCTAATGCCAAATTACAAACTAAGTACGTATTTTGGTTTTTTCTAATTTCTGATTTCTTATAATTTTCAACATTCGAATTTCTAATTTCGGATGTACAGATTTCAGGTTCACTAATTTTAACTTCGCTGGCTTTTTCCAGTCTAATTTCGGAATTACAAATCTCAGATTTTTTCTGTGGAAATTTACAGATTTTGAATTTTCGCAATTTTACTCTAATTTTATTTGAACGATTATCTTCGAAACCACTCTGTCTAATTTTATTGACATAGTTTTTTTCTGGCTCAAGATCTGTCTTCGATTCTTCATTGCTTTCTTTATTAATGGGAACTCTTCTCGCAAATATGTCCAAATTTTTACGAATTTTTACTTGATTTCTAACTACTCTAGCGTAAGTTTTGCAGTTTGTTATTGATTTTGAATAACTATTATTATCTTGTGATGTTATATATTGATTATCAGCAGTTGTATTGTTTGTGGATAAACAAAACACTTTATCAGCGATTTTTTAAATATTGTTTTTATAATCTATTTTAGCGTTGAATTTACGCAAACATTCACTGCCGATTAGTCCGTCTTCTTCAATAGGTAAATCATCGGGTCCCATATAAAATTCGAATTCTAAATCTTTTATTGTAATATTTATTTTTTCTAATGTTACTACACTGTTATGTATAATACCTCACAACTCTAAAATATTCAATTCATTCAGATATGCTTCGTTTGGTTTCTTAGACCATTTCAGTAGAGATGGTCCTGTTACGTCTCGTGCATCAACTACGAATAGCTAATGAATGAGACGTTCCAATATGTTGACTAGTGGTCGGATATGTCTCACTTATAATAAATATATGTGGAAATGTATGTCTGATAATTGTACTACCTTGATAATCGTAGCCTTTAATTGTTGATAAAATGTAGCAGGCTCTAACTGCTTGTTGGATTGTATGAATGTAGCAGTCTCTAACTGCTTGTTGAATTGAATAAATGTAGCAGGCTCTAACTGCTTGTTCGATTGTATGAATGTAGCAGACTCTAACTGCTTGTTGAATTGAATAGGATAGGTTGTTGAATAATACTTGCACGATATTACTTTGTAACAATCGCGAGTTTATTAAGTAAAATGATCACCAATTGTCGGACCGGTGTGTACGGAGTTGAGTCTTACAGGTACTTATTGACCGACTGACGGACTACTGATCAACTACTGAGAGTAATTTGTTCATTGCTTTTTATATCTTTTATAGTTCTTTTCAGGTCAGTATTGCGATATTGTGTGACATTTTGTTTTCGCTGATTATAAATTCTTGCGTTTTGGTGACTTAGTTTCGGAGTGTGTTTCAACAGCTTTTTGCTGTCGTGTGAATAGCTTAGCAGTTTTGAATGTGCATATGTTACAAAAAGGATGCGTCGTAAGGCTTAATTTCGGAGAGTCATTTACCTCGCGTTTAATTAGCTTTTAGCTGACGTGCGAATAGTTTAGTAGCTTTGAATTTCGCAAATGTTTATTTTATAAAAAGGATGCGTCGTAAGACGTAACACCCCAGGGCCTAAGATATTGCAATGTTTGCATAAAAATACTTCTGAAATTCAAAGCTACTAGCGGTTTATACAGAAATTTTTGCGGTGTGTGCATTTATTTAGTATATGAGGAGCGCGGTTGCTCGACTTTGTACAGTTCAATTTTTACAATGTTTGGATTTCCAAGGAAGCGTCATTCGATGGTCTGCGTAAGTATTTTACAAATTGATTTCTTATTCATTGTTATTATTATCATTATATTTCTTTATTCTAGTTTGCGGATTGGCAGTATTCCCGTGCGGCAAAGAAAGCCAGACGGGAGGGCTTGCCTTTATAGGAATTTTCGAATTTCGAGCCCAGATTCTGATTCAGCAGACAAAAGTACATAAAGATTGATATGTCGGACCCAGTTATTACTTCGTTGAGTACCTGAAATTCAGCTACGAAAAGTTAGTCTAAAATCGACCGTCTTGGTCGTTAATGGGTTAAGACAATTCTCGATACTGTGGACATTGCGCTGCACAAGCGATCGGACACAGTTTCGAGAAGACGTTCCCAAGACAACAACAATACAGACACGGCAGCGGAGAATAACGAAGAAACGCCACGGACGAAACGAAAACGTTCGTCAGTCGGA